CTCCCCCCCTCTTCCTCTGCGTGTGTCTGTGTCCCCGTGTCTGTCTTTCTCCCCGGCCTTCCCGCCCAGCTGCGCCCTCCTCTGCCTCCAGGTTGCCCCCATGCTGCTCTGTCCTCGCGGGGCCGCTCAGGGCAGGGGGTCTCAGCCGTGTCCCCGCCACCAAGGGCGCATCTTTGCCGGGTTTCTTGGCTCGGCTTCCGCACGGTGACACCTGGGGGCCCTGCGCGTCCCGGGATACTGGCTGGCCTCGGGCCTCTGGGCCGGAAAGGCGTCCCCCGTCTCGCCCGCCCAGCTCCCTGGAGCCTCAGCCCACGGCAGCATCGCGTCGTGAGGATATGAACGTCCATGATTCCGCGACACGCGGGCCAACCCCGGCCAGGTGCTCACGCGGTCCTTTCCTGTAGCGGAGTCTGGAATTTAAGCGACAGGCGATTAAACATCATCAGCCACATTCACAGAGGCCGCTGGCTGGTCTTGCACAAAGCGCCTTCTTTTAGGGAGTATCTCTCATTCCCCGCGGGGCCAATTTCATCTGACCTGCCGGAAAGCCTGGCCGCAGGACACTTGGCGGAGGGGTCCAAGGGGGGAGCCCGGGGGGCAGCTGCCCAGGGACTCGGAGGATGAACCGGGTGCTGTTGGCTGGGAGGACTTTGGTTCCACTTCCGGCCACAAGGAGCCCGAACCCCCGCTCTGGGGAGGAAACTTGGGAGTCCGGTGAGAACTGGCCAGGGCAGCAGAGAGGGTCCTGGGCAGGTGGCCTGGGCCAACACCTTGTGGAGCAGGGCTGGAACGCACTCATCACGCGTGGGCCAGCCTTCGGAGCTACCCCGGGCCCCGGGGGCTGGGGGGAGGCCCACAGTCACGTCCAGGGGAGGAGGACTTGGTGCCACCCCCTGGGTCAAGCAGAGGTGACAGACGGAGGAGGCTGCCCCCAGGCCGGGCCAGGGGGAGGCAGGGCCAGGCGCTGCTGCAGGCCATCGGGACGTCCCTCCCAGGTCCCGTTCCAAGCCGCCTGCCCTCCCGCTCCGTGGCTTCGGGGGGACCTGGCGCGCCTCCTGCTCGCCCCGTCTTCCCTGTGCCTCACGTGCCATGTGTCCACCTGCCTGCCTCCCTGTCCCCGCAGCCTGTGTGCCCAGGGGAGGGCTGGAAGCCGGTCGCTGCTCCATCTCCTGGCTCGCCCCAGCCCCGGCCCTCGGGACCTTTCCCGGACAGTCTGGCTGAGCTCTCACTGAAGCCATGACAGCAACGGACACCCGTGCCAAGCCATCCTTCCCGCCTCAGGGGCCCTGACCATACACGGCTCACGGGAGCCCACGGTGTGTACTGTGATTACCCTAGAGACAGGAACCCCAAGGCGCAGGGGCTTGAGGGGCTTGCCCAGAGTGACGTGGCTGGCAGGGATTACTACCCTCGTGGCACAGAGGAGGTAACTGAGGTGGAGAGGGGGTTTCCCAGGGGGCTGATTTGCCGACGGGGCCAGCCATTCCGCCACCTTCTGTCCCTGTGTCTCTCAGAGGTCTCCTCCCATCCACCGCCCCCCCCGATGTCCCTGAGAGAACCTCCTTTCCCCCGTGTCTGTCCTGCTCCCAGAGGGGCCTTGTGCCTTTGCTCAGCCCTCACTCTGTACTGATCGGGCGGTGTCTGCAGCCTGGGGCCGGGCGTGATGGGCAGCGCCCTGTGGACGGCAGCCCCAGGGAGGCCGAGCCAGCCCTGTCCAACCCGGGCACTCACTTCTCTGGCAGCAGCAGAGCATGGGGTGCGGGTTTCCAAGGGGAAGAACCCCTGTCCACAGAGACCCGCGGGGTGGCGGACGGTCCAGAACCAGGAGTTCCCAAGGGGCTCAAATACCGTCCCAGGTCGCGCAGGCTGTATTTGCTCTTGGTTGTGTATTGTTTTCTTTTTGCATCGCTTGAAAGCTATCAAAACAGGCTGCGGGCAGGCTTTGGCTCTTGGACCATGGCTTCCTGCCCCCTGGGGCACACAGCAGCCAGCGGTGGTGAGGGATGCCTCGGACTGGCGAGCACCCGATGTGGCCTTTCAATTCAATCTGATAGGTATAGCACGAGTCAGTTGCGCTGAAAGCAAACAGCATGGTGCATTTTTGCGTGTGTCCATCCCCGTTCGCCCCCCCAAGTCAAGATCTAGAACGTTCTGTGTGTAAGTGGAGTCATCGTGTTTCTCCTTCTGCCCCTGAGACTCAGCCACGGGCCTGTGTGTGGCCAGGACTCCCCCGGGTGGAACCGAGCGGAGTATCCCAACGCGACAACCTGCCACGCTGGCTTTGCCACCTTCCCGCTGAAGGATGCTTGTGATTTTTTTTTTTCCTCTTAGGACCGAAGCTGCTTGCAACGTTCTAGTACCAGCCTTTTGGTGAACGTGAAGGTGTATTTTTGTCGCGCACATACCTAGGAGTGGAACTGGGGGGTCATGAGTGGGTCTCGACACACAGTCTTCCAAAGTGGCCGTGCCACCGGCAGCCTCGTGATGGTGCCCAGGACATGTTTCAGCGCTGCAGTCGGAAAACCTGAGACTGAATTCCACACTCACTAGACTGTGGACGCCCTGCGCACCGTCCCGGGGTGACAGGAGCAAGATAATCCCTTAAAATCTCTGCCTCGACCCGAGTTCTTGCCTGGGTTGCCGACGGAGTGGGAGGCACTGAGGGCCCCACACACTCGACCTCTTGTCTCATAGCTGGGGGCCTCGTCTTGAGGGGCCGCTGTCCATAGGCTTGTGAATCCCACAGCAGCAGGGTGGCCCCGTGGGAAAGTCGGTTGGGTGATGTCCGCCGGCGCCGGCATCGGTAGGCGGCCTCTGCTTGAAACCCGTGCTGTTGACCACCCCACCCTTTTCTGGAGGGGTGGGAACGTCTCACCGTGCTGAAAGCTCTTAGAAACACCGGAACCCAGAACACTGGGCTGGGAGTAGAAGAACTGGGAGATGGGTCAAATCCTACTTCTGCTCTCCCGGCTGTGTGACCTTGAGCCAGTGTCCGAACCTCTCTGAGCCATTTCCTCACCTCTTCAAGGTGGGTAACTGCCTGTTTCCTGAGGATGCAAGGATGAATATCGAGGGTCCTGGAGGGCCTCGGGGAACAGGGCTCTGTTCCAGTAAGGCCTTGGGACCTGGGCAGGGCCAAAGGGCACACCCTCCCGTCACAGGGGGTCCACACTGCCTTCTCTCCCAGGGGCCCTCCCCAGTCGTAGGGTCTTCAGCAGCCCCTGGGAGGCCTCTCCCTGGCAGGAGGTGGCCTCTAGGCCACCAGGCTGAAAACCCTTTTTTTTTTTTTTTT